TTTGGGTCTGTCAGAGCAGAGGATCAACATCCTGTCACATGACTATGGAGACACTGTAGCTTTCGAGTTACTGTACAGGTGAGTCCTAAGGATCCTTAAAAGTTTCTCTGCATAATTTAGCTTAATGTTCCTGTCTAGATGATCAGGGTGGTTCTCACGGGCAGTTAAACACACAGGAATGACCATAACAGAAGTGGACACATCACGATAAACAGCCTCTGCCTCTCAAATGGAGGTACATTAGAGTTGTATTCAGTCAGAAAATTTGAATATATATTCTTAAAGTCTGAATGGAGATTCAAAACTTTGTCCATTTTGTTTTTTTTTAACTTAAAAGGAATATTCCCAGAGACTCATTATCCAAGATTCGGTCAGAAAGTGAGTGTGACACTTAAAAAAACAAGTTTGTATTCATTTTTAAATATGAGAAGTGAATATTTCCAATCTTTGGTCATCTGTAGGTGCTGAAGGACTCTGGTTTCATTTCATCTGTACTTACCCGCCTAATAAACTTCCAGCTTTTCTCTAGAGGGTGAGTGGAGCGTCCAGAATGAAAGTGGTGTTTACTTTTATGCTCTCTAATTCACAGTTCAAACTATTTGTTGTACTTTACACATATAATTATAAATCATTTACTTAAATCATGCTAGCTGTGACCTAAAGCCTTCAGTTGTAAATATTATATATTTATCCTACAGAATAAGGGATGTGTTTGGACCGTACACCCAGCCAACAGAAGCCGAGTTCTGGGACATGTGGACAGGAATTCGCTTTAACGATGGAAATCTGGTCATGGACAGGTGTCCAAACTTCTCCATGTGTTGCACTTGCAATGCTTTGCTTTTAATAATAACCATCACCAACTGTCGTTTGTTATTATCGTGTCTTGCCCAGTATCCTGCAGTACATTAACCAGAGGCTGAAACACAGAGAGAGATGGGTCGGGGCTCTAACCTCCACTTCAACACCATGTGAGTACACTATTCATACTGTGGTATGAAGTGCTGGTCATGCTACAAGAATGAGGTGTGCGAATACTTAAAAACTCGGCCATGGGCAGTGCTATTGAGGCTAAGTAGTTTAATCCAATGAAAATCACTGCGGAAGCTGCTTAGGCCATCTGCAGGTGATAGTATATATTAAGTAAACATTTACATAGTTGAATGCATTAGTGTGGTGTACAACATGTACACTATATTATACAAGCAGCAGTGCAGCAGGACAAGCATGTTAACACTCATACTGTAGGACAGGAGGGTTGTATTTTGTTTTTTATAAATAGTTTTGTGGTTTGGAAGATAATTAGTAGGTAAATCACTTTAGGATGTGTAATGGGGCTGTACAACATCCTTAACATTTGTACTTTGCAAATGTCACTGATTTATCACTTCTTTTTTTTTACTTTGTAGTGCACATGATTTATGGACCACTAGATCCAGTTAATCCACATCCAGAGTTCATCCAGCTCTACCAGTAAGTATATATGTCAGTTGATATTTATTAACTCTGTTTACACTAACGTTATTAATATCGCTGGTAAAGAAGTATTTATATAATTTTTTTTAATTTTTTTTTTTTATGTGCATGTTGTTAAATCATTGCAAAAAAAAAAAAAAAGTGTTATTATATCTGTGTGATGGTGTTGGCCCAGTGGTAAGAAGTCATGGTATAAGACTTTGTTTCTACATGAGCGCCATGGGTTCAAATCTGGGGTGTTTTATTAATTTCAAAATTAGATAATTCTTTTTAAAACATTCGCTGCATCTTCACACCTCATATCATTGACATTTCCTCAGAGTCTTTTTGTTGGTTGATTTTGATCC